GAAAACTCGAGGGCTACTAGACTTATAATACCTCCACCCGGGGGGATAATCCAGAATTACGGAGTGTCTGAGGAAGAGGTCATCTCCTCAACCCTCCTGCCGGTGGCCTACCAGCATGTCTGCCTAATCCTAAAACCAGCTCCCCCTAAAACCGTGCACGGTGGAAGTTTTCCTCCAGTGCACTGGGTTTTTCAGAGGTAGTGGGCCATCCCGGACGAGACCCCAAAGATGTTGTGTCGGAGCAGGGCACACTACCCCAAAAAGCCAGCAACACTGCTGTAAAGACAAGTGGAAACTTGTCTAGGCCCCCTATGTGACCCCTGTCCTAGGCCCCGAACAGATGCAGGCAGATACTGCATCCCGGCGATAGTTCCTGGAACTTGCCGAAATGTCTATTCCTGGAAACATGCCTTTGTGTGGTTGAGCTGTTTTGATGTAGTTAATCTTTGAATTTACTGGCTGAAATGAATAAGTGTGGGCTGTGACGCATCTAGTTAATCTTTGAATTTACTGGCTGAATTGAATTTGCGCGGGCTCTGATTCATGTAATGGCTGATGAGGCCTATATATTCCCTGGCATTTCTCTGATCGGGGTCTTGCTCCCCTTGTGTGGCCTGCGTGCCTGCAAGAAAGCTTGACCCCAGCTAGCTGGTTTAATAAACTCTGCTTGCTTGGTGCATCACTGGTCCTGTCCTTTGTCATGGGAGGCAACTGGGTGATTTCCGACCCTAACAATTGCAAGCTTGAGCTCGGAACCAAACGCACACCACAGGCACCTGCGTGGTAGAAGGGCCCCGAGCGTGGGGGAGGCGGAGATTTTATACATGACTCAAGCGCAGGCTCGGAGGTACCATGGGTCGCTGTCCAATTGGCTAACCCTTGCACCCTTCTATGTTTGGTACGGAAGGCCAGCGGTGGTTGGTGATTGGTTCGCAGATGTGGTCCATGGTTACATCATGGTAGCCTGTCGTGGTGGGTCAGGAAGCCCCATTCCAGAGAACAGAAATTCAAGCCCAAAATGGCAGCAGCTAATTTGAGATGGAGGCTGTCAGGCTCTTCACCCTCTCTGTCCAGTCAGTCAACATACCTCTAGGTCAATTAGGCAACTTCTCATTCTTGCTCCTTGGTGGGCCCCAGCTGCCATCAGCTTTTTTTTTTTTTTTTTTTTTTGGTTAAGTTAGAATAGTTTCATCAAGTTATTCATGTTACACAATTCCCCAAATTATAGTTCACTGGTTTTCAGTGTAATTGTTAAGGGGAAGGATGTCCTAAAGGAACTCTGTAGGGTGTTGTGGACTCTACCCCTACTCCAGTGATTGGAAAACTACAACTCTCAGCAGCACCAAGGAGAGAACTGCGAGAACCCAAGGGCAGAGCTAAGCAGGCATTCTGGGACTTTGGGGGAATAAATAGGGAGCAGTTTTCCATCTGTCACTCCGGAGAGGTAAGGGCTCTCTGGAGCATCTGTTCTCACACCGTGTAACTGAGGGCTAGCAGGTTAGTTTGGGACTAGAGGGCCAAGTCAGGAGAGCTGGTAAGATATTCCAGTTACTTTGTATCCCTCTCTTTCCCTTTCCCCTTCTTGTAAATAAACCCATTACCCTTTTTGTGTGTGTCTGCAGAAAATTACATTTTAAGGACCTGGGTGAGACCCCACAGACAAGCAGCCTAAATCCACTCTGGGCTACCCGTAACAGTTTTTGGCCTTGGGGCGTACCTAATTTACGCCCATGGTAGACCACCCCAAGTACCTTTGCATTGGTCACCATAAGCGCTTTGGATCTGCAGCACACATGGCTTCTTTATTTCGGGACATGAGAACTTTTTTTTCTCTTTGTGTTTAGCTCCTGCTGATATTTACCACCATGACTTTGACCAGTTTTTTTCCTAGCTTAGGTTCTTTCAGTTTTGTTCCGGCCTTAGGTCTCTGTACCCTTTTCTCATTGGATATCACCACCAGTTTCATAAATATCACTAATCTGGTGAGATCTGGTTTATGGCAAATGCTGTTGCTTTTGTTCTCCTCTATGGGTGGCTTCCAAGCCATTCCTGTTTTGCAGTCTGTGCTTCTAGGCTCTTCTTGATACTTTGTATCAACATCATTTTTTACATTTTCACTCTGTGAGAGGAAGTGGAGGGAGCTCTGCTTCTTCCACTACAAACTTAAAACAAATTCAGGCTCTTACTCAGAACATGCAGCAGCAAACACACAGTTATAAATCGTATGCCCTTGACTCTATGCAAGCCCAGATACAAGATGCCTTCCATAAATTAGATATAGCCCAGGATCGTATTATGGCAGAGAGAAGGGATAATAAGCCTTTCCCTGAGGAGGGTTGAGTTAGGAGGATTTTTACTTGCTCAATACCTTAAACCCTTTAGGAAAGAATTGTTCCCTGCATAGCAGCATCCCTCCTGTGGAAACTCCTAAGGCTCCTGTACAAACTTCTAAGGCTCGTGTGGGAACTCCTGAGGCCTCACAGCCTCCACTGCCCTTTGGAGAAGGAACAAACATGACTTCTCCTTCCCATACTGGATGGGGCAACCCTTTTTGGAAGTAAGAATCGCCTCGAAGCAGGGCAGTTCCTTCATTGACCTATGGCAGTGGGTGGTTTAATGCACAAGGACAGCCCACTGGGTACTTCTGGTCACACAACACTTTTAGTATAGCAGACCTCCTAAACTGGAGGAGCTCTGTTCCTTCTTATAGGCAGGACCCTAAGAGGATGGCAAACTTGTTTGCCTCTATTTCTCTCACCATCCTAATTGGGCAGATATCCAGTCAATGTGACAAACTTTATTGACTTCTGATGAGCAAAGGATGGTTTTTAAGAAAGCCAGGGAAGAAGTTGATCGCCTCCACCAACAGGATGTGGAATCCCCAGAACCAGACGTGGCTATCCCGATGGTAGATCCCAACTGGGACCCCAATGAAGGTGATATGGATATGTTACAGCTGTATAAAAAGTGTTTATTGGTAGTGCTACAGCAGGGGATTCGGAAGCAAAAGAATTTTAATGAAATTCTGCAGCTTGAACAAAGGGCTAATGAGGATCCATCTGAGTTCCTTCAATGAACTACCCAAACGTATGCCAGACACACAGATATAAATCCAGATGCCCCAGAAAATGCTCGTCTGGTCACTATGGCGTTCACTACACATAGTGCCTCAGACATCAGGAGGAAAATTAGCAAAGGTGGATAGCGTTACCGAGATGAGTCCATCCAGTTAGTAGACATGGCATTTAGAGTGTATAATAAGAGAGGAAAGTAAACCTAACCTGTGACTGTTTTTGTACAGAGGCAACATAGAACAGTTTCAAGACAATAATAACAGACTGGCAGGTGGACCCATGAGACGTGAGCCTCTAGGATGAACTCAGTGTGCCTACTGCAAGTATGAGGGACATTGTAAGTATGAATGTCCCAGATTAAGGGTCAACAAGAGACGTTATAATGACAGGAGACAAGGTAGAAGGTCAGTGACAACCCCTCATGACTCACGCAGAGGTTATAGGAAGGAATACATAGTACACAAGATCCAGAACCTAGGAAGGAGGAAGATAGACAAATTATGGGCGACTGAGATACCGATAGGAAGGAATACAAGCAGGATACCAGAGATCAAGCGATGACTGGAAAGGAGACAAATGATAGTGTACACCAGAGATTCAGATGAAGAATAGGGGAGCCCAGAGGCTCCATCAGATCTAAAACAGTCCACTGAAATACCCCTCTTGTGAACCTATTGAGGACCTGAGATATTTATTTAAGAAAAAGAAAGAAACTTAGATGGTAGTAACTTTCTTCTTTTCAGCTATGTAGCTGTATACTTCAAAATACACTTTCTGAAGGATCCTCAGATGACATATATGCTCTAACTATTCTTTTTCCCTGGGAACATTTAGGAATATTACAATGACATCGTGCAATTATGCTAGCAGCATAAAAAATTAATTTTACTACACAATAAGGCCATCAGTCTTATTCTTGATATTTCCTTGGAAATTTTTTTCTTGTTTGTTTTTTAATCATTTTGGCCTATATTAGTAAAACTGCCGTTACTTATGATTGGCATAACTAGTATTGTCTGTGTCTATCTGTTGAAGGTATGTCTTTTTCTTGTGTTTGATTGTCTTAACCTTGAAGTGTGCTAAATTGGTTTGGATGGCGCCTATTGCTATTGTAAACAAACAAATGAAATTGTAATCTTCACGATAACTAACTTATTTTAAAAGAGTTGTACTGGTAGATGTATATATATTTTTTTCTCTTATTTGGGCTGATAATGTCAGACAAATGGAAGTTTGGAATGACTAAGGTTTTAGGGAAAAGTCTCTAGTTATAAAGTAAGAAAAAATAGGATGCGGGGGACCTTGGCCAGCAAGGCCGAGGATTGGGGTCCCAGGGTCGACGAAAGGAGAAGGCAGAGTCGATCGATCGTGCAGCAGAGCGGCCTTTATTGTGTCGTACAGCTATACACATATATGCTTACAAAGAGGGCGGTGCAGTTAAGGGTGGGCTGGATGAGATGATTGTTTTGGACCAATAGTTTTCAGGGGCAGGGAATGATGCAAGGTACCCTTTGGCGGGTTTCTGGTCTCTTGAGAGATGGAAATGGGCGAGAAGTGAGGTTCAAGAAGGGAGGGCCTTAGGCATGTCTTTCTCAACCCGGATGTCTGCCTTGTGTCCAGGCCAAAAGAGGTTTTTATTGCTGCTCTGAAAAGGCAGGATGCCAGCCTTGGTCCCCAACATCTCCCCTGTTTCTGTTTTATTAATAGCAAACAGGCAGGAGCAAAATGAGGACAACATATATCATCAGGGGACTGTGCCTGTCTTAGGTTGTGGAAAACTCACTACACGCCTTACCCGTCATCTACTGGAAGGGGTATGAAAAGGTGATTGATGTGCGCATTCCGCCTCGCAGTCTGTCTTAGATTGATCATGAGTGGCCTCCATCTGACCCGTCTTTGGCTACCAGTCCAGCTCTGAGCAAGGCATTATGGGCACTCGGGTTTATCGAGCATTTCTCGGTCCAGCATTTCCAGCCGGCGATAATGGACCTGAATGGGTCGAGACATGATGTTTTCGACCTGTTGTTTTACAAAGGCTATGATCCGGTTGAGAATGCATGGCTGATAAGGGCGAGAAGCAATAGAGACAGGAGGGGGCCCGGAAGAGGGAGGAGGTAGGGCAAAAGTCCATTTAGGCCAGTCCACAGGGGGTTTTGTGCCATCTCTCGTTTCTGCTTAGCGAGGTCGTCTTGGAGCTGCTTGATCTTGTTGCAGACAATCCCCGATTTGTTGACGTAGAAGCAGCATCGTTCCTGCAAAAATAAACACAAGCCTCCCTTTTCGGCAGTTAACAAGTCTAAGCCTCTATGGTTTTGAAGGGTGACCTCAGCCAGCGAGTCGACTTGGTCTTGACGATCATTTATGGTACTTGAGAGAGATTCTGCGTTAGCAATGATCTTTTCATTTAGTTTAGTAAATTGGGAAAGGGACACTCCCAACCCTGCGCCTCCTGCAGCCATGGCAGAGGTTATGCCTAAGGTTGCAAAGAGAGGAATGAGCTGTACTGCTCGTTTTGGTAGCTTGAGAAAATGGTCAATGGTGGGAACGGGAACTGGTTCAGTGCCGTAAACAATATCTATATCAGGGAGCAGGACACCCAAGGAGCAAAGTCCGGTCCAACCTGAGGGGAGGGCTGTATAGGCCTTATTATTACCACAAATAAAAACTGAGTTATTTGGAGGGCATAGGAGAGGGGCATCCTGGATATGCGAAACAATGGTGCAGTTAAGGAATGAAGCTATACCCAGATCAAGAGAACTGTTGGTAACATTAGCAAATATGCAAGAGATGGAGTCAAAGAGCATCGGTTGTACTAAAAAGGGGGGCTGACGGAACAGGACTTATCATCTGCGAGGGTAATATTGTCAAAGGTCATGTTAATAAGGGGAAAAGCAAGCGGAATGGCTGTGTCCATACGCGCACACAGCCAAGAGTCCTGTGCTGAGGATTGGAAACGTTAAGCGCAGCAGCGGCTTGTGTCAGGATTGAGGCGGTCCTTGGATCTAAATGCAACGGACCGGACCGTGCGGCCTGGGCAATGCGAGAGGGTGGAAATAGAGATTGGGGATCTTGGGGGCTAGCTTTTGGAGTGTCTGGGTAACCTGGAACTCTCTTGCTAAATCCTGAGGGCCTCCACCATCAGAGACATGAACAGTGGCTGTCAGGCCCCAGCATGCAATACCATTGTTAGAAGTGCCACAGGATGTGACATAGGGGAGATCTATGTTTGGTGCCCCAACATGTAAAGGACTAGAGGCGGGAGAGGTTCTGGTAAGCATGGCAACATAGAAAGTTTGACTATCGGAGGCACGAACACAGGTCTTATGCTTGGTGTAGCACGAGGAGTGCACAGTATCAGAATAAATTGTGCAAGGAGAAGGCGACGAGCCATCCTTCTTCATGTCAGGGAGGGTGTATCGATGACATCGATAACCCTGACTAGCGTCATGGAGTGGGTGTGTGAGGTAGGATTAATTACAAGGAAGGAGCGGTAACCTCCGGCACATGTGATTTGGTGAGTGTATTGTATAGATTGAACTTGGTTTTCGTTTAGCCAGACCTTTTTGCATTCACAAGGTTTTCCATACTTGCTGTTAAGCAGTTGCATCGCGGCACTTGGTTCATCGAAACCGGCGTTAGCACTTGGGGGAGTAGGGCGATGAACCAGAGCAAAATCCACGGGAGCTTAGAACAGCGACACATCCTTAGTCTTGTTGAAGTGAAGGCTGAAGACTTATCTGTTACGGGGGGTGGGTGACCCGGGAGGGCTAGCCGAAAAAAACAATCTCAGGGCGGGGGGCGCCAGTGGCCCGGGAGGCTAAATAGCCAGACGAAAGCTAAAAACCGAAAAGAGAAAACACTTTACAGGGGGAGGGGGGCGATGGCCCGGGGGATTATTAGCCAGAAGAAGGGCTAATAGCCAGAGGGAAAAATGTTGGGGTCTCTCCTGGGTGCCCCACGTTGGGCGCCACTTGCGGGGGACCTTGGCCAGCAAGGCCGAGGATTGGGGTCCCAGGGTCCACGAATGGAGAAGGCAGAGAGTCGATCGATCGTGCAGCAGAGCGGCCTTTATTGTGTCGTACAGCTATACACATATATGCTTACAAAGAGGGCGGTGCAGTTACGGGTGGGCTGGATGAGATGATTGTTTTGGACCAATAGTTTTCAGGGGCAGGGAATGATGCAAAGTACCCTTTGTCGGCTTCTGGTCTCGCGAGAGATGGAAATGGGCGAGAAGTGAGGTTCAAGAAGGGAGGGCCTTAGGCCTGTCTTTCTCAACCCGGATGTCTGCCTTGTGTCCAGGCCAAAGGAGGTTTTTATTGCTGCTCTGAAAAGGCAGGATGCCAGCCTTGGTCGCCAACAATAGGACAACTAAAATGCTATGGTTTAAATGTCAACATTGTCTTACTGAACTGAGCTGGAGCTTTCACGGAATTGAGATCGTCTTTGCTGTTATTTTATTATTATTACTATTATTCATATTTGTGACAAAGCTTTCCAGAATTCTAAATTGAAATGCAATTTGGGTAACTTGGCATTTGGTTAACCAAAGGAAGGTTTGTGGAACCTCAGTAGAGCTCCTGAGATACTCCACAAAATTTCCCCTTTTCCCCCTGGGGAAAGCATTCCAACTTGTCTAATTTGGTATACAT